ATATAATCACATCGTCACTACTCATAATCTTTAAAATATAATTAGAAAACAAGATGCACCGATAATTCCTTAAAAATAATAGCCTAGATACAAACTTTAGACTGATTTATTTAATAATAACATAAACATGTTTGAAATATATGCAAATTAAGTGTTGTTCCATTAAGCCCATTAAGCCGAAAATAGATGATAGTTGTTTGTTCTTTCTTTGTATTTATTTTATTTTGGTTTGTGAGTTGTCACAATACATGTTAATGTGATATGATTGGATACACGCCCATAGTAATGATGTCGTTTATAATATGAACATGCAAAATTATACATGTAATTCGATAGTTTTTGTACCAAAAAAAGGGCACCTACACTACATATTGGCAGTTGATTCTTTAATTTCTTCCATAGAAATCGCCTGCATCCATGAAGGGAGAGCTTATATTTTTATTTTAGTAAATAGTTTTTTCCTAAAATTATTTTACTTAAAAGTAGGATTTTTATTTGGAAATCTCCCCAAAACAAAACTTTCCTCTTATTGATGAACTTAAATTTTTTTTTTAACAGAAAAAGACAAAACTTAGGCTGTGTTTGGCGTGCCATAGTTAGCTGATAAGTCAGCTTATTTTTCGAGCTTTTTTAAGTTGTCATGTTTGGCAAGCCAAAAAATAGCTTATAAGCTAGCTAGTTTACCAAACGTTATTTTTTATCAACTAGTTTTTTATTTAACAGCTAGCTTTTTAGCTATCAGCTAGCTTTTCAGCTAGTACGCCAAACATAACTTTACTGGAAAATTTTCATCAATAAGGCCAAAGTTTTTACTGAAAATCTCTCGATTTTTATTTAGTAAATACTTTATTTTTTCTGAGATGGTATTACTATTACTATTACTATTACCTGCTCATTGCCAGCAAAATCATTTTCAGGAGTGAGGAAAAGCATGCAGTGGCATTCCTTTCTGAGAAATAAAAAAAAAACAATAATTTTAATCAGGCTACAAAAATTAAATTAGGGTTAAATGCAAGAAATAGCAATGTACTTTGAAAGCAAAGCAAAAAAAAGTATATGTTGTAATGAAAATAAACAAATGTAGCATGCTATATATATATATATATATATATATATATATATATATATATATAT